GCTATTTGTTCCTATTCCTCTCTGTTCTTCTTTCAGTACATTCCTTCTACTAATGCTGTTGTCTTTTGCCCCCTGTATTTTATTATATTTCTGTATTTACTCATCGTTAACTACAACAGCTTAGGCCTGGATCCTGCAATCTGATCCTCCATTGAAGTTAATAGAGCTTTGCCCAGGCAGATCGAGTTGGGATCTAGCAGTGAGCCAGTCTATCTGAGAATGTTTAATAACATAATAAAGCTAAGAGCTTCCCTAGTGTTCATCCATTTAAAAGCTCAATCTGCTTCCCTTTTAATCTGTTGCACTCAGCTTTATGACAGCTCTTTTCAGTGTTTCACTGACCTGGACAGCAGCACCTCTGGGCTAGATTCACAAGGGGGACTAAAGCACTGCAATGCTCCAAACTCCAAATTAGGTGCCCAGGCTCCCTCTACAGTGTATGGGGAGAGCTAGGTGCCTAAAAACATGATTCACAGATGCTAGCATGCTGAGCTGAGCACTACATAAGCAAGTCAGTAGGAAATGCTGAGGAGGGCTGGGGCCTATACATCAATCCTCAAAGAGAGTTGGGTGTCAGTCTGTGCTTGGGATTCACAGACATGAACTCTCTCCTGGAGTTAGGCACATAGGTTAGGTCAGCCCTTTCTGAAGAACAGAGGTGGTGCCCCTCTTCCCCCATGCCCAGTGGTTAAAGCATTCACCAGGATGTGGATTTGGATCGTGGGTTTGGATCCCTGCTGTGCCTGACTTGAACCCAGTTTTCCCATCTCCTAGGTGAGTGCTTTTAGCACTGGGCTATGGCTCTCTCCTGTTGAAGCTATTTCATTTGGTATTAGGTATGAAAGACCTAAATATTCAGTGGAGCAGGGACTGGAACGTGAAACCACCAGGCTGTAGAATCATTCTCTGTCTCTCAGGCCCAATAATAGTGGAACAGCTTTAACAGCGGTTTCCTATATGCTGGATGAGTACTCTAACTATGGGGGGCACCATCATTGTCATTTTGTGCGAGGACAGCTACAGTAGTTGTGCTATAAGATGGTCTCTGAGCCCAGGCAATATAAGCAAGGGAATGCATAGTCAGGGCCATACAGAGGTTTTGGGGGCCCGAGGCAAAATCTGAAACTGAGACCTCCCCACCCTTCCAAAAAAATTACCACTGCGAGTGGTGGTTGTGAGGGGTTTGGAGTCCAAGCACTCCCCCATAGTGGTGTGGAAGCAGAGAATTTTCTCCGACAGTGGCAACTTGGCTCCTATCCCACGGGGTTGGGCCTGGCACCTCTCTATGGGCACTGCAACCTGGCACATGGGGTTACAGCACTGCTCAGGTTTGGCCAGGCTGTCCCTCCGTCTAAGGACTTTACTGATGGAAACTTAGGTGCTTATAGGATTAGGCTTCAGCTGTGGTTTTGTGAATGCCAGTGGTAGCCATATATTGGACTTAGCTGCCTAACTGACACTTTGGTGCTTAAGCCCTCCTTGTGCATCTAGTTGCTACGTGTGTTTAATTTAAGAGCAATGAAGTGAGATGCTTCGCTATTTCCGTATGACTTTCTCTTTTCATTTTTGTGATTTCCACATGCAGTTCCGTGTCTGTGAAATGCAGTCATGTGCGCTACTGTCTGATGTATTTCTAAGTTGGTGTTAGTGTAGGAAAGCCATTGTATTCAATCTCTTTAGTTTAAAGTGACCATTTTCAGTTCCTTCAGTTTCTGTCATTAGTGCGGGGGAAAAAGAGAAAGGGCTTAAGGTTTAGAAAACTGTTCTGCACAGAAAGTAATTGGCTAAGACCTAGGAAACAAATTATCAAGAGCTCCTGTGCAAAAAACAGGGTTCAGGAAAAAAAATAAATCACAGGAATTTGAAAAAATGAGAGAGACATAAGGCACAAATGTAGCTTTTCCATGCTCCTAAATTTTCGTCTCTTCTTAAACTCTAAAGCTTGTGAAAGGAAGGAACTTGCTTATCTGTGTCTCTTGTAATATTCAACTGGATTGGTTTTGTTTTTCTTATTTAACACAGTCTCATAAACGGCAGCAACAGATGCTAAAGGCATTTGCAAAGCACAACAAGATGATGAAAGAGTGCGAGAATGGCAAAGGTATTTTCTTTTTAACAACTAATTTTCTCTTGTGCCTGAAAAAGGAGATTTACTTTGTGTTAATATGATTTCTCCGGCTCCTTACTAGGTCAGTCTGAATAATCTAAGACCACCCAGGGAAACAGAAATATTATAAATTTCTGCTGGGAGCCCCTGCCTTTTTATACCCCTTGGCATTTCCTTCTAGCTTATGTGTTGCCTCTCTTCTTCCTGCAGGGGGGAGGGTGCATGGGGGGAATGGTGTGGGGGGGAGAGGGGAAGAGAGTGGGAGCGAGGGTCCTAACCATGGACGTTTAAGTAATTTCAGTCCCCTGGGGCTAGATTCACAAAGGGACTTAAGCATCTAATTGCCACGTAGGTGCCTAAGTCCAAGATTTAGATCCTCAAAACCCAGCTCAGCTGCTGCCTAACCCTGTAAGTGCCTAAGTTCTGCAGTAAACTCTTCTGGGTGCCTAAAAATCCACTGCTGAGCATGCACACACTGCCTAAATCTTGACGCCATCAGCCTGCTCAGCACCTAAGCCCCAGCAGAATGCTCAAACTAGCTGTGCCCCCGGCCTAGCTCATGGCCTGATCTAGTTGGCGTGCTCAGAGGCCACCTTAGAGCATGCCTATCATCTCAAGCCCCACACAAAATATAGAAGAGGAGGAGCTGATGGTGCTGGCCTGAGGCTAGGCACCTAACTCACTTTAAGGGACAGGGCTTGGGCAACACCCCTCTCCTCAGCATTTCCTACTGGTTAGCTCAGGGGTCTGTGCCCTCGATCATTTGGGCCCATTCCCAGATGGTGCTGGTTGCTTCCTAGCGTGAAAGGGGAGATGTTTCTCACTGGAGTTGGAGGGGGCTAGTAATGAGGTAAACTCTTTGTATTTTTATCTCCATTGTAGGCTGAATGCAAAGGCCTCTTTGGACACCACATTTCGGAGATGGCTTCAGGGTGCTTCAGTCTGGATCCCTCTTTCTTTTTAGGGCTCTCCCATGATCTGTTCTGGGTCCAGCATTTGAACTTCCCATTGTCCAGACCAGGAAGAACTAGATATTTCTCTCAGTGATGAGGTTTCTTGTTTGTTTGACAGGATTTGACCGTCATCTTCTGGGTCTCCTACTCATAGCAAAAGAGGAAGGACTCCCTGTGCCAGAACTCTTCACAGACCCTGCATTCACTAGAAGGTAATTATTAGTCTGGTCCTATATGCAAGTCAAACCTCTGGGTGTTGATGGGTTTATCACATTTGCCTTGAGCTTGCCAATCTCTTGATCCCAATAATTTTGTATTTCTTAGCTCCACTTTTTAATACTAATTTAAATCAAACAATTTGCTTTTTTTATTTCACAGCGGGGGAGGTGGAAATTTTGTGCTTTCCACTAGCCTGGTTGGCTACACTAAAATTGGTGGAGCTGCAGTCCCCATGATACATCATGGCTATGGCATTTTCTATAGAATCAGAGATGACAGGTAAGGGTATATTCTCACCTTCTTGGGCCTGGCATCACTCAGAAGAAAACTATAAAGCTGTTATCAGAACTTCTTCCCCGTTTTTATGTTGCCCGATTGTATCAATGTCACGAAGGTAAAGGAAGTTCACAGCTAATAGGAGGGAAAGAGAGAGCATATCCAGAATCTTAAAGCTAGTTGCAGTGAAGGAAGATATGGACAACACTTTCAAATGTAAGTGACTAAAGTTAGGTACCTAAATCCATCTCGGCATCTAAACTACAGTGGCCTGAGTTTCAGAATTGCTGAGCACCTACATGCCCTACTGAAGTCAATGGGAGCGCTGGATGTTTAGCTTCTTTGAAAATCAAGACAAAGTTATTTAGGTGCCCAATTTAGACACCCATGTTTCAAAATTCAGCGAATAATTTTACAGTTTGTGTGGGGATGTGCTTAAAGTTCATGATCTAAAATAACTAGTTAACCTTTATACTGATAGAATTGTTGTGACCTGCACTGCCTGGAAATCATGCCCAGAGACCGATGCAGAAATGCTGTGTAAGAACTTGTTCCAGTCTCTTCAGGACATGATACAACTAATGGCTACAGCCCATCTGTAGAGTTGATAGTGACATTACTGTGCCTTCACATATTGTGCATTATTGTATCTGGCACTTGCTAAATGAAATGCTTGTCACGAAGAGCGTTAAACTCTATGTAAAACACTTAATGATATTTCAGCATAGACGTTAAGCAGAACTAATGCAAAACCTGTCCATTTTAAGAGATTTACTGCAGCAGCAATGCAAGTTTCTTTTAAGAATAATATATCCATTTGCACCAACAATGCAAACGATCAGCGTAGAACTATGCAATATTAAACTATGCCTCAACAATGCAAATGTATCAGACTATCGTGATTTTTGGAAAATGGAGAATTTGTGATGGCTTGTTTTTATAACCTTCCTAATGGTAGCTGATAGAGTATGTGATAATCCGGTGAAGGTTATTTCTATGGTGCACTTATTCTTTAGTTCAGAGTAACCATTCCAGTGCTAATACAGTATGGTGCTTTTGCAATGGACATTGGTGACAGTTTTTATGATTTTTCATTTGTGAAAGAATCAAGGAGAAATATTAGAATAACAGACTCTTCAAGTTATATATAATTTTTATTATTAGCTGTCTTCCATTTTCACCATTGGGATGATTTCAAATCAAGAGCTTATTTGTGAATAGAGATTAGTTTCTCAGGTGAAGGCTGAGGGCACTATAGTTTGAAAAATACTTTAAAATTCAAGATGGTTCCTTTTCAAAATAAAGAGATGAAACTAGGATGGCTACTTGCAAGTTTCCAAAGGATGACATACTTGTGATGAAATAACTACAAATATCACTGCTGCTCCACAGAAATTAAGTGCAAATTTAAAACTGGCACTAAGTATAGTCTGATAAAACTCTCAGGATTTTAAGCTTTCTTTGGATTTTAAAGAAGACTTTTTTTTATAAGCTTTGTAATTTCTTCTTAGAAATAAAACAATCCAAAAAGTTTGTTTCATGGCGGTTGATTGGTTTATATCTATACTGCTTGATGCATAGCAACCAAACTTTCCAAAAGGGGAGATTCTTGTATACAGATGATGAAACTGACTTAACACAGATTCTAAAATCCCCACTGTTTGCCCTTCTGGAGGTATTGGGGCCCCTGGAGAAGTCAGGAATTATTCTAGTTGTAATACAAACAATAAGTAGAACAACTAGAATTCTCACTGAGATCAAAACCTCATTGTGGAAGGTACCATGTTACAATGGTACAGTTAGCATCACTTTAGTTAACATTGACACTTACTCTTTAATAGCCAACTTTCCTAAGTGCTCTAAAATAAACATAAGAGACTATCCCTGCTCTGAGGAGTTAATCAAAACAGACAAAATGTTTGAGTAGAAAGAGAGGTGTATGACTTGCCAAAATTTATACAGCAGATCAACAATCAGGCAGGAGCAGAACCCAAGTCCTTCTTACTTGCAGTTCAGTGCCCTATGCGTTAGACCACCGTGATATGTTCATACCCATGTGTTGTGTACAAGCAGACACTACAATTGCTAGAATACTAGGTGTAACAGATTGAGTGTTTATCCTGGCCAAATTGTAAACTTCATGTTTTGTGAATCTTTTTGTGATTGTAACCTTTACTGCATTGTAACCTCCATATTGGGTTAAATCCAGCTGGTGTTGAAAACCAATCTAATCTTGACAAGATCAGGCTGTTGTAGACATTCTGTGCTCGTGCTAGGTTATGGGACACCTCAAAAGAGTAAACAGTGTGAGCCATCAATGTTGAATGACTTTTCCTTTCTGGAAAAATGGGTTTTTACCAGCAAGGCCATTGACTATCTACACAAGTTGGGGGAGGAGTGGGGAATGAAGCTGGGAACCTCATCAGCCAAAACACATGGCTAGAAATGGGATAGAGACTATTTTGAAAAGGTGGCTGCTTTGCTAACAGAGGACCATACCATTGGCACCTGTAAGCAGAACTTGCTGGAGAGAGTGATGGCAGGAGAGTATCTGCTTGAGGACACTGACCAGAACCAGGACTCCCAGACAGGGTGAGATTGGACCAGGGGGATTGCATTCAGGACTGTTTGTTGATATCCATAGATCTGTCATTTGCTTGTGCTTTAAGAATAAAGTGGTTGTGGTTAAGAATTCTTTTGCTAAGCCTGTGTTCATTGCTTTGCTGCCAGGTTGTCCCTGCAGGGCATAACTAGAAAACCAGAGCACTCAGAGAAGGCAACAGAGGGCTTGGGAGAGCTGGGGCATTGGTTCTGGGGTTTAGGTAACCAGATTGCAGTCCCCCTGCCCAGGAAGAGTGACCTGTACAAGGTCTGTACCAGGCAGTGTGCCTGAGCGACCCAGAGCTGGGAACAGTGATCAGACAATACCTAACCCAGGGGGGCTTAGAAGCAGATGGGATTTAGGAGTGGGGTTCATTCATAACAAACTTATGTCCATCCAGAGGGAAACAGGGCCAAGTTGTGACAACAGGTTAAGACCGTGACAGAGCTAGTAACAGAATTCTTAGTGGCTGGAGCTGCGGGCCTAAATGTTTAGATGATGAAATAATTGAGGACTTTGGTATAATGCTTGGCTCAGTGTTTCTTGGCTTTCCAGGACCTCTTGTTTACAGTCCTTTCCTGAAAACAAAGGTAAAAAGATTGATTGGTAATACTATCGTTTGTAAAGTACTGAAACAAATGCACCATCACACTTCAGAAATATGGCACTGCCTTTAATTCACGTTTCATGGTCCAGCTTGAACATTAACTAGAGCAGTGTCTGAAGTGCCAGGACATGGGGGAAGCCTGCCTCTCACTCCGGCTGCGCCACTGGAGGTAAGCCCATACCCCAGTCCCCAGCCCTGAGCCCACCCAAACCCAGAACCCCTTCCTACACCCCAAACTCATCCCCAGCCCCCCTCCTGTACCTCTTATTCCTGGCCCCACCCCACAGCCTGCACCCCAACACTCTGCTGCAGCCTTGAGCCTTTCCCACACCCTAAACCCCTCACCCCCAGCTCTGTTGGGTTGCGGGCATCAGTGATTTTCTTCAGCTAGGTCCCCAGAAAAAAAAGGTTGAAAACCACTGAACTAGAAAATAGTAGACACCTCTTTCAACCAAGAGTTGCTGATGTGTTCCTTGTTCTACAATCCTTCCATTCTGGATTACTGCTATCTTGTCAGCATTCTGGACAGGTGATGAGCTATTACAATACAGGTGCGACCTTGTCTTGCTTTATCCAGTGCTTCGTGGACAACCTGTTCAATTACCAAAGCAGGAGATACTTGCCAAATAAGTTAAAAATGTAGTGCAGAGAAACCCCTTACAGCTGTTGGTAAGTGAGGTATCTAAACTGATATCTTATAATTTAATTAAAATATACCAGTGAGAAATGTGGGGCTGGATAGCTCAATGGGATGAATGTATAGCTTCCTGGTTTAAATCTAGTCTGTGTTGACAATGAGTGAGAGGAGTTAATATTGATGAATGTTTGGTTGCATATCTGAACTAAGGTGGTTGTCTCAGGCCAATTGCTAGTGCATAGGCGTCCATGTCACCAAAATCATTATCACAACTTGCACCCTTGTTGGCAGTCTTGGCAGAGTGACCAAGTATTGTAGGGGCCAATGCTCTGCAATCACATCTGCCAACTCCTTTAGCACCCTCGGATACAGTGCATCCGGCCCCATGGACTTGTGCTCATCCAGCTTTTCTAAATAGTCCTGAAACACTTCTTTCTCTACTGACGGCTGGTCAACTCCTCCCCATCCTGTGCTGCCCAGTGCAGTAGTCTGGGAGCTGGCCTTGTTCATGAAGACAGGCAAAAAAAGCATTGAGTACATTAGCTTTTTCCACATCCTCTGTCTCTAGGTTGCCTCCCCCATTCAGTAAGTGGCCCAAACTTTCCTTGACCACCGTCTTGTTGCTAACATACCTGTAGAAACCCTTCTTGTTACTCTTAAAGTCCCTGGCTAGCTGCAACTCCATGTGTTATTGGGCCTTCCTGATTTCCCTCTGCATACCTGAGCAATATTTTTATACTCCTCCCTGGTCGTTTATCCAATCTTCCAATTCTTGTAAGCTTCTTGTGTTTAAGATCAGCAAGGATTTCACTGTTAAGCCAAGCTGGTCGCCTGCCATATTTACTATTCTTTCTACACATCAGGATGGTTTGTTCCTGCAACCTCAATAAGGATTCTTTAACAGCCAGCTCTCCTGGACTCCTTTCCCCCTCATGTTAGTCTCCCAGGGGATCCTGCCTATCAGTTCCCTGAGGGAGTCAAAGTCTGCTTTTCTGAAGTCCAGAGTCTGTATTCTGCTGCTCTCCTTTCTTCCTTGTGTCAGGATTTGAACTCTGCCATCTCATAATCACTGCCTCCCAGGTTCCCATCCACTTTTGCTTCCCCTACTCATTCTTCCCTGTTTGGGAGCAGCAGGTCAAGAAGTGCTCTGCCCCTAGTTGGTTCCTTCAACACTTGCACCAGGAAATTGTCCCCTACATTCCAAAAATTTCTTGGATTGTCTGTGCACTGCTGTATTGCTCTCCCAGCAGATATCAGGGTGATTGAAGTCCCCCATAAGAACCAGGGCCTGTGATCTAATAACTTCTGTTAGTTGCTGGAAGAAAGCCTCGTCCACCTCATTCCCCTGGTCTGGTGGTCTATAGCAGACTTCCACCACCACATCACCCTTGTTCCTCACTTAATTCAGAGAGACTCAGGTTTTTCTGCAGTTTCATACTGGAGCTCTGAGCAGTCATACTGCTCTCTTATATACAATGCAACTCCCCCACCTTTTCTGCCCTGCCGGTCCTTCCTGAACAGTTTATATCCATCCATGACAGTACTCCAGTCATGTGAGTTATCCCACCAAGTCTCTGTTATTCCAATCACATCATAATTCCTTGACTGTGCCAGGACTTCCAGTTCTCCCTGTTTGTTTCCCAGGCTTCTTGCATTTGTGTATAGGCACTTACGATAATTTGCTGATTGTCCTGCTTTCTCAGTATGAGGCAGGAGGAGTCCTCCTTGTGCTCTCTTGCTCGTGCTTCCTCCCGGTATCCCATTTCCCCACCTACCTCAGGGCTTTGGTCTCCTTCCCCCCGGTGAACCTAGTTTAAAGCCCTCCTCACTAGGTTAGCCAGCCTGCTTGTGAAGATGCTCTTCCTTCTCTTCATTAGGTGGAGCCCATCTCTGCCTAGCAATCTGTCTTCTTGGAACACCAAGTTACTTCTCAGTTAGGGCTGCATGACCTAATGGCCAGAGTCAGTATAACTGCCCTCTCTGTCAGGGCGGCGTAGCCTAATGGCCAGAGTCCATAGAGCAGCCCTCTCAGTTGGGGCTGCTGTGGCCCAATGGCTAGAGTCAATATAACTATCATGGGCAGCAGGTATAATAGGCCAGGGGAGCCGCAGCCGCTGGACCCCCGGTTGCAGGGTTTGAGGGGGGAAGTTTTTGATTTATTATGCCCCATGCAGGTTCCAGGCCGGCTTTGGACTCCAGGGAGATTACTGATGAACCCAGGAAGTTGAGTAGAAAATACCACCTCCTCAGCCGCCCCAGAACTTGCCTGGGGCATATCAAACACTTCTTCCAGTGGAGCATCTGAGAGACGCTTCTCCGGGTGGCTTGGAGTCTGGGGAAGGAAAGTGCAGCGACAGCTGGCCCGGGGCTCCTCCGGTCAGGGGGGCTTGGGGCTTCAGCCAGCCCGGGGCTCCTCTGGTCAGGGCATGCTTGGAGCTTCAGTGTAGTGTGAAAAACTACTATCAGTAGTTGCTACCTGTAGCAGTTATTCATATGTAAAGGATTGTAAAAAAACTGCTATCTGATGTAGCAGATTCCCACGGATAGCAGTTTCTTGCACTACACCAGCTGGGGGAGGAGGGGGCAGGCAGAAGGGATGGAGCCAGGGCTCCTCAAAGAGGGGCCTCCACACGCTACCCATGATAACTACCCTCTTTGCCAGGGTGTTGTGGCCTAATGGCCAGAGTACATAAATCTGCCCTCTTGGTTACATCTGCGTGACCTACTGAAACACACCGGGCTAAGCCCCAGTTCTATGACCGATTCCCCATTAAGTTTCTCTGGGTTACTTCCTACCTGTTCCTCCATGGCTTGTCTTGGGGTTCCCATGGCCTCTCCTCCCTCTGTGGTGTTGGGTGCCTGGGGGGTCATAGGTCATCGCCATCTAGCTGGCCTCTGCATCCCGCAGTGCTGGCAGTCCTTCCACAGGAACTTGCAGAGCATCTCCATTCCCTTTAGCGGTTAGTGCTGAGTGAGCTGAACTGCTCCCTTTTATATTTATGTTCCAGCTGGAGCATGCCCAGCAGAGCCAAGGGGATGAGTCTTCCTCGGCCCATAAAGTATGATTAAGTCCTGCTGAACCACTGTGTGGCTAGTACACCCCGTCACACTGTCTTGCCCGAACACCCTCACGCTCCTCGCAAACATGCACGCTGCTCCTCAGCTCAAAATGGTGCAACATCTACCCCCGCTCCTTCATATGGCAGATTTGAAAAATAAAAACATCCATTTTGTGCAAAACAAAAAAGTTTATTGAGAAAGATGTTACAGGAAAAGAAGTTTTGTTAGTATTCTGTTTACATGAAGTAGACATGGAAATTGCATGCCTGGAAAGTTAGAGGGACTATACGCTCGCCATTGAGGTAAAAGTGTCCTGTAATAATGCCTTCTTACAGGAAAAGAGCTTTACCATAGGGATAGCCAAGCTCCTAGTGGCTTTTGGCAGGCTTACATAGAGAAAGACAGGGAACAGTGAATGCTTCACACAACCATGGCAGAACCCTATCTTTTTTCCCCTGCTCTTTCACTATGTCTGCAGGGGAGATGAAGCAGAATCGAAGACCGAGAAATTGCCCAATTATGGTCATTCCTCCCAGTATTGCATGCAACTCCCTTCCACTCTTGCAGCACTTCTGGGGACCATCTTGATGAGTAACTTCATAGTATCTCTCACTGGTCTGCCTTTTGCCTTTTTGAATAAGGCCATTCTCTTCCTCCTAGTTCTTCGCCTCAATATAGTATCACTGAGGGCTGGTCCACACTAACCCCCCAGTTTGAATAACATAGCTGAAGTCGAAATATCTTAGTTCGAACTACAAGGTACTTACGCGGGTCCACATGCAGCAGGCAGGCTCCCCCATCGACTCTGCATACTCCTCTCGCGGAGCAGGAGTACCGGTGTCGACGGCGAGCACTTCCGGGATCGATTTATCGCGTCTTGTCTAGATGCGATAAATCGATCCCAGAAGATCGATTGCTTACCGCCGAACCCGGAGGTAAGTATAGACGTACCCTGAGAGTCAGAACAGCCTAAAGAGGATCGAGCTGGGATTACTACCCAACTCACCCCCACTGCCCTTTGCTAACTCTTTCAACACCATTTAAACACTTCCAAGGCAAAGCCAGACTAGGAACAAATTCACAACCCCACCCCCAGCCTCCAAAGTAAAACAGCAAAGTCAAACATTATATATTGTATAGACAAAAATCCCAATGCATCTCTCCTCATACACACACCACTTACCATCTCTGAGGTTTCTCAAAGACTTAGGAAGGCAAAGTCAGAAATGCTGAAATATGAACAATAATCACTTTGGGGTTTTTTCCCCCTACTCCCACAGCCACAACACCTGACCGGCCAGACCCTCAAGGACAGGGCTTTATCAATGATTGAGCAGCTGGCTAACTTGAGGGGCAGAAGAGAGAAAATTCAGGATGAAATGTTTGTGAACATCACTGCAGAGTCCCAAAACCCCTAAAAATTGTGGGCAGGTGGAGGTTGTATTAGAGGACAGAGACGGAAACAGACAGGGAGCTCTCCAGAGCAATTGTGGGATTGGCCAAGGACAGCATGGCAGTTGCCAGAAACAGCATGGCACCTACTAATCTAATTTAACCCTCACATCATGTTATCCCGTAGGCATCTAATAGAGTGTAGTCTGCAAATTTTGCCACCGCACTGTTTACCCCTTCTTCCAGATCATTTATGAATATGTTGAACACCACTGGTCCCAATACAGAGCCCCACTATTTCCCTCCCTCAACTGTGAAAACTGACCATTTATTCCTATCTTTTAACCAGTTACTGATCCATGTGAGGACTTTCCCTCTTATCCCAGGACTGCTTATTTTGCTTAAGAGACTTTGGCATTGGAGAGGCCCAGTTTAACAAAGCCCTGGCTGGGATGATGTAGTTGGGGTTGATCCTGCTTTGAGCAGGGGTTGGATTAGATGACCTCCTGAGGTCTCTTCCCACCCTAATCGTCTATATTTCTATGACCTTGTCAAGGACTTTCTGAAAGTCCAAGTACAGTATATCCATTGGATCACCCTTGTCCACATGCTCGTTGACACCCTAAAGAATTCTAATATATGGCTGAAGAATGATTTCCCTTTACAAAAGTTGTGTTGACTCTTATTGTGTTCATCTCTGTAATTCAGTTTTCTATTATAATTTCAACCAATTTGCCTGGTACTGAAGTTAAGCTTGCCGGGATCAACACCAGAGCCTGTTTTAAAATCAATCAATCAATCTACATTACATTATCAATCTTCCAGTCATCTGGTATAAAGACTGATTTAAGCAATAGGTTATATACCACAGTTAGTAGTTCTACACTTTCATGTCTAAGTTCCTTCAGAACACTTGGGGGATTACCATCTGGTCCCGGTGACTTATTACTGATAAATTTATCCATTTGCACCAACACCTCCTCTATCGACACCTCAGTCTGAGACAGTTCCTCAGATTTGTCACAAAAAAGGCTTGTTTGGGGACCTCTCTAACATTCGCTGTAGTAAAGATCAATACAAAGAATTCATTTAGCTTCTTTACAATGGCATTGTCTTCCTTGAGTGTCCAACAGCCTCGTTTGGCAGGCTTCCTGCTTCTAATATAGTTTAAAAAATTGCCGTTAGTGTTTGTCTTTTGCAGTTGCCCTTCAAATTATTTTTTTACCTGCCTAATTATACTTTTATACTTTACTTGCCAGAGTTTATGCTCCTTTCAATTTTCTTCAATAGGATTTGACTTCCAATTTTTAAATGGATTTGTTTTGTCTCTAATTGCATCTTTCATTGTTGTTTATGCACAGGGACATTTTTTTTTTAATTTGGCATATACATGGAGAAACTAAATTATATCTTGTATCAGAGGGGTAGCCGTGTTAGTCTGAATCTGTAAAAAGCAACAGAGGGTCCTGTGGCACCTTTAAGACTAACAGAAGTATTGGGAGCATAAGCTTTCGTGGGTAAGAACCTCACTTCTTCAGATGCAAGTAATGGAAATTTCCAGAGGCAGGTAACAGCTAATTTCCAGCTACCTGCCTCTGGAAATTTCCATTACTTGCATCTGAAGAAGTGAGGTTCTTACCCACGAAAGCTTATGCTCTAATAAATTTGTTAGTCTCTAAGGTGCCACAAGTCCTCCTATTATCTCCATATTGATTTATACCTGCCTCTGGAAATTTCCATTACTTGCATCTGAAGAAGTGAGGTTCTTACCCACAAAAGCTTATGTTCCCAATACTTCTGTTAGTCTTAAAGGTGCCACAGGACCCTCTGTGGCTTTTTACAGATTCAGCCTAACACGGCTACCCCTCTGATACAAGATATACCACAA